AGCAATTCAATGTGTCTCCAACTCCATTGCCAGCTGTTTATTTATGTGTGTCGCCTGCAACACGAAATGTTGCTGAGATCGGCAAATGCTGTGAATTGTGTGTGTGTGATGCGACAATTGCAACTGCAACTGCAGCAGCAACTGCGGCTACCTTTTTGGGCGCACTTATGCAACTGTACAATGGCCATAATAGGGCATAATTATATATATATATATATATATATATATATATATATAAATATATGTGTGAAGCCGACGCCCGAAATCTGTTGCGATTGTTGATCAATGGAAAGCGCCAAGACAGGAAGCGCGCCTGATTGACTGATGACAAAAGGAAGTTGCAGAGTGCCGAGATATCAATTTGCCAATTGGCAAGCGTAGAGGCAACAAATACCAGCCAATTTATAGAGCCAAGTGAAAGATATCCGCAAGCAGGCAAAGTTCAGCAACATTTGTGCGGCGCCTTTAAATAAATCAGTTGCAGAGACTGGCCGAGGTGGGGATTAGGGATTTACAAAGAATAGCCGCCTTTGTTGGCTGTCGAGTTGTCGTTGTTGTTGTCAGTGTTGTTGTTGTTGTTGTTGTTGCTACACCCACATGCAAGAGCAAACGCTGGCAGCTGGAGTGCAGCTATTTTTAATTAAATGCAAAATATGCGCACGCAACATGTTGCCAGCCAAAGCTACTAGCAACATGCTGCGAGCTTTAATGTTGCCGATGGCGGCGCATTGCCTCAAATGTTGCCCGCGCTCAGTTGGACACAAAACGCCGGCGCGTCAAGTTGAGCGAAGGGCGCGCGCGCGAGATTCCCTTGCATTATGTGGCATTTAGATATAAAAATATAACGAAATAAAAATAAGCAAAAAGCAAATAGAGAGCAGCAACAACAGCACAAATACAAAATGAGCAAGAAAATGTGGCACAAAATATTCAAATCAAAGTCGCAGAAGCAGCAGCAGCCATTGAGTAAAATCAATAAGCGGCACAGTCGCGGCATCTACGAGGAGTATCAGCAATTAAACGAGCTGCTCAATGGTGAAAAATCGCAGGCCGCTCGCTTTGCCAGTGAAAATGAAAACGAAAACGTTAACGAAAATGGCAAAGCCAACGGCAACGGCAGCAACTGTTGCAGCAGCAGCGGCAACATCAATGTGTTTGAGCAGCAACCGCTGCAAAGTTCTTTCAACTCGTTGGCGCTTAGTGAGGCGCAACAGCAGCAGCAACAGTCGCACCACCAGCAGCAGCAACAACAATCGCAACAGCTGTCAACATTTTCGCGCGTACGCAACACCTTCTCACTGCGACGCAACAGCAGCAACAACAACAACAGCAGCAGCAGCAACAAGAAGCAAACGCCCAATGCCAAGTCAAGTGAGTCGGCCACGCCCACACGTACGCCCACAGCTGCGGGCGCTGGCCAGCTGCAGCATGTTTTGATTATAGTCAATCAGATCGATGTCGCTGCAGCAGCAACAGTTGCCCCAACAACAACAACAACTACTACTAATACTGCTACTAATTTGCATGCCAACCAAACAACAACAACAAGTAAATTTCTAGCAATTGATCAACTATTGTGTGTAGCTGTTAATTGTTTAACTGATATAAATGATTCTCAATTTGTTAATGAGAAAGTGGCACAGAGTCGAGAATATTGTAGAGGCATTAAAGTGTAGAAAGGCTGATGGAATGTGGATATGGAATATGGAAGCTTACATATCTGATATACATATATGTATTTTGATCTATTCCAAATTCATTAAAAGCAAGTGTAAATAATCTATGTGCATTATCAACTATAAAAATTTCAACTATTTGGCAGATTTTATAGCCTTAACATAAACTAACAAACATCGTTAGCAATCTCTCTATTTACTCTCATTTCTAATTAATTTTCACTTATCTTAAGTAACTCCTAATAATGCTCCAACTTTACCATAATTGTGCAGCTCTGTGGTTTAATCTCATTGACGATTCTGTGCCAGATTTTGTTGTGGACCTTTCGATGACTTTATTCCATCAGGCTTATCAGCAAGAATACAACAAATGATGTCATCTATATTTACTTTACTTAAATTGACAAGCAAATCGAAGAGGGATTCTTTCAGTAAACCTTCTAGGCAGAATAGGCACATACATACATAAATATAAAATATACATACTTATATATCTGTACTTCCTAACTGGACTATCCAGTTCTTATGCTACTTTCACACTGTCGCAAGTTGAAAGTTCAGCACCAAGAATATGTGTCGCAGAACCAACTCGTTGGCCAAGGTCCCAGCTATATAAACATATCGTCATACATACATACATAGGCTATGCATGAAAATGTTGCCTCACTCTAAATTAATGGAGGCGCGCACGAATTAAATGTCTTATAAGCTTGCCCAATGCTAAGCAATAACAATTGCTGCAAGCTCTCAGATCTCCGATCTCAGGCGGATTTAGCTGGCATAGATTGTAGTTGTTAAGAAATACTAGGTCTTGGGAGACTATTTAGAAATATAAAATCTTATACTATGAAAGTCTTTATCATAGACTGTTAATTTATAATCAAATATTTGTATCTAATAATACTTCCTGTTGTGATCTAGAACTGCTGCTGATCTTTCCGGTTTTACTTTCTCTTGACTTTTAGTTAGACTCGCACAATAGATCTCCAATTTTGTATACCTTCGATTTGATCTAGTAAACTTACGAACTCTTGAACTTTGAGCATTTCTACAGATGTTTCTTCTTCTTCGCTTGCTTTTGTTATCTTCACAAATCAAAAATCTGCCTAGACTCCAGAGACTTGAGACTTGGGCGCCCTGCTGTTGCCCAGGCAGTTGCTCCTCTTTTTTGGCGTTGCATTTTATTTATAAAACTCAAGTGGAACCATGTAGTTGAGAGATATGCATAGAGTATATAATCTCATAGTGACCAGAGTAGCCCTGCAGCCAGTTTATACAGTCTGCATTTGGCAAAGGCGAGTTTGCTAAGAGCATCATTAGCATATGTTTGAATTGTGGTGCTGCTCGAGTGGTGCTGTCATGTGCAACGAATGCCCCACACCCACACCCACACCAACACCCATACCCGTCCCCAGTCCAGCCATTGAGGCAGTCACTCACCCACTTCTCATCGGATTACGCATTGATTTGAATTGGAATGAATGCGAACGAGTCGAGCTTCGAGTTCCCTCAGCTCTCAACATGCTGCAGAAATTAATGCGTGTCGCTGATATATGTTATCGTTGGGCCTGGGCGCATTATAATTGGATTCTCTCGGAATTATTGTTATTTTGGCACCCAGTGTGGCTCCTATGTCATTATTTCCATTGAAAGACACCAGAGCGAATTCTCCTATTACATCGAAATTCTCAGCGGCTCACGCAATGTGAGCGCTGGCGCTGCCTGGCACAGGTGATACGACTTTATAATTGTTTATATGGGAGTTTAGTAATAATATGTGTTCGCTTTATTCTTACATAAACAATCTATAAAAGGGAGTTTAAGTCTATGTCGTATTTCTTATTACTATTTTCATAATATAATTTGTTTGGTATTTATTGGACTGAGTATTAGTATTGATGGGTCAAATAACTGTGAATACAGCATCAAGAAGGTCTGAGCTTTGAATGTATTGAACTGCATTTGCTGCTTATCTTCTTCGAGCTGCCTATCATCTAGGTACTGGGTACTATTCCACCTTATCCTTCAAGATGGAGTCCCTTTTTATGCCCTCATTGTTCCTAGTTCCTGGCTAACATTATTAGTAGAAGTATTAATATGAGTATTAGTATTAATATTCATATGCATTCATCCTCAGAATCTACGATGTTTCCTAGACATTAGTAGACCTCAATATAAAAGAGTATTGTTATATGCTAATATGAACTAATATTATTTCTATTCTTAATATATCTTAATATAAGCATAATTAAGCTTCCACAGACTTTTGTTAAATCACAAAACATCAATCAAATTCAGCTTTATGAACAAACAAAACCAGAGATTCTCTCATTGTTATTTTTGAGTTCGAATTCAGTAAATCAAGAAGTCAAGTGAATCGCCAAGCCGTGCCGTGGGCTGGCGCGTTCGCTGGATGGAGCACCTGTGCGCAGTTCGTATCTTCAAGATACAGATATAATAATGTCGCCCACCAAAATCGCAACGAACTCAACAGTTTGGCTCAAACGAGCTGCCAAAGTTGGACATTACAACATTTCATGCGGCAGATAAATAACAATTTATGGGCCAATCACACAGCCAGAGGCAGCCAAATGTAGTCACAGTCCAAATAATGACAATAAATTATTACCGAAATGTTTTTGTTTATTTATTTTTTTTTTTATATATATAGTTATTTCTATTTGGTCTATTGTCTTGCCAGTCTGAGAATTTGCTGCTGCTGTGACAAATGTTGCCGGAAAAGCAATTTGTTGTTGGAAATGCGGCTGGCATGTAATATGAAAATATTTGCCATGCGGCAAGTGCAACTGGAAAGTTTTAGGGTTTCTGGCCCAAGACTAAGCCGTGCCACTTGGCCAAAGGCCAACAGTCGGCAGACGGTCTTAGTCTTTTACTTGGCTTTGCCTTTGATTTTCACTTCACTTTCTTTTAGCGCCTTCAAGTTGACTTTAGCATTTGCTGAAAGTTGCCCAATGATTTAGAATCGGAGCTAGACTGAAGAGTAATATATCCAATCTATCATAATAATACTCTTGAGTTAAATGTTGTCCAATCTCTGCTCTGCACACCACATGCATTGCCTTTCAAATCAATTTAACTTGAGTGAAAATCTGCTTTGAACGGAGAAGGCGAGCTCAGTTAAGTTTTAGATTTGTTACTTTAGCCGAGAATTGTAAAATTTAGTTTTTAGGTTTCAAGCCATACAGCATCTACTACAGTCTCTACAGACATTGCAAAAGTTTCCCAACAACAACATCAATCGAAGCCTCACAATCCAATAATAATTCGAATCCATTTCTTTAATTTCCCATCCATTGTCAATAGCCACAATGGATTCCGATGGCAATTTGGATGATGAGCCAGTGGGTCCCAAGCCGGGGCCACTCACCACGGGCTTCTCCGAGATCCTACAGGAGCAGGAGGTAGTCTGCAGCACCCAGCTACTAGCCTGTCCCAACTGCAGTCGCACCTTCAACACGAATGCACTGCGCAAACACGTCGTCGTCTGCGAGAAGATGCTGAAGAAGCGCAAGGTCTTCGACTCGTCGCGTCAGCGCCGGGAGGGCACATCCCTGTCCACCTATGTGCTGCCCAAGAACTTCGGGCTGCCCAATGCAGAGAAGGCACCGGGCGTACACACACCGCCCACAGCCAGCCGCGAGGCGTCCACCGTATCGAGCAGCGGAGTGCCGCATGAGGTAAGCAATCGAAAGACGGTGCTCCATGCTCCATACTCTATATTTTATAGCCTATACTATGTACTGCATTCTGCATATTCTATATTTGCAGGCCTCGCCGCTGTCGATACGCCGTAAGAGCAAGACGGATATGACGCGCGCTTCGTTGCGCAAAGGAGCCGGCGCCGGCACTGCAGCTACCGTTGGTGTCGCTGCTGCCGGTCCTGCTAATGCCGAGCCTCAGGCAACATCAGCGGCAGCTGCGACCGCTCCGCCAACATTGAGCCGTGATCGTTCACGTGCCTCCGACCGTTCCATAACCAGGCGCATCAAGGACACCGCCACGGAACATTGCCCGCACTGTGAGCGCAACTTTAATATCAAGGCTTTCGATCGCCATGTGGAGTGGTGCAAGGAGAAGGCCATTCAGGCGAACATCAAATCCAATAACACCGCGGAGACAAACAAGGCCAAGGAGCGCATGGAGGCGCGTAAAAAGTATCGTCCACCGAATCTCAAGTAGGTGAACTTCTCTACCCTACCTTATTATAGTTTTTGATATCCCACTGGCTTTGCTTCATCTTTCATGTTATTCGTATTACATATTCATCAATTGTGTTGTTTCAAATCTTTCAAATTTTTCCCTTTACTCTACCCAGAACCAAGCGCTCCATTAATCGGGACAAGTACTCGGGTGCCCAGGAGGAGCACTTCGAGCCAGAGCCAGTTGCTGTGAAGCAGAATTTAATGACGCTCTCCACAATGACGTCGTCCGTACAAAGTGATAAGTGAGTATTATTTAAGATTAGCGTAAATCATTTGATTCGTAGAATAGCTAAACCTATCTGATTGGCCCATCTGGCGTTGCTATGGTTGTCGTTGATGTTGACTAATTCTGCAGTAAAGTTGTGCCCAGTAGACACTCGTCGCGTAGTATTTGCTCACAAAGTATTCGTAGGACATGATCTGCTTCGATATCATCCATTCATCCATTGACCACACTCCAACATCAACTTAGCTCACAAAGAAATGCACCGCAGCAGCGTCCAGGAACTCCACAAGTCTTCGATGCATCCAAGTCGAAAGCTTCGTTGGGCCAGAGCAAGGCGGGAGCCCGCATGCTCACCGAGGAATTGTCGAGCGTTGTCTACCAGGAGCGTGTAAGACGCAGGCAGCAGTACGATGCTTGCCAGGAGATCGATGAGGCCGTGGAGCGCCTGCGTCATCCCTCCTACGAGCAGCTGGCCCAATTGGATTGCGTAGAGGCGGCGCACCTGCAGCCAGCCCGGTCCCATCGCCGACCCTCGCCACATCGTTCGAAGTTCGACTCTACCGAGTGCATGGCCGGGCAACCCCAAGTCACGATGACTTTCGAGGAGCTCAACGGGTTGATCAAGTGCAAAGGTAGGCTCGGTAACAAATGCAGACCCAGCCTAACTGAAACAGTGGAATCGGCGTCAAGTTATCTAGTTTTTTTTTTTGTTTTGTAATGCTCCACTTGCTACTCCGTCCGTCCCAGAGGCATAAGGTTCATAGGGTTCTGTAGGCCCCATGGCGTGCCTAAACTTAATTAACTTCAAATGATTTCATAATTAGTTTCCTAAGCTGCGGAACAATTTGATGGTTCTTAATTCATGCGCAGCGTATTTAAGCACTTAGAAGATCAGCCAACCATAGAGCAGCATTAGTTGCACTCCACAGGAACTCAGAGAGTTGGAAATAGTTCAGGGAGTGGAGAATAGCTAGAATATAATTGATGAGCAGCGAATAGTATAACTGTAGCAGAATGGATAATACTGAGATATGCGGGAGATCTACCTGATGTTCTGCAAAGCAAAAACTAATTCAATTCACGTATTGAAGAGTAGGAAAAGAATAAATTCATTTGGCAAAATAGGCCAACTAGGGAACGTATAATTAGGGAAATTCGCTAGAAAGTCCGATTCATACATTCACTTAGATATCTGTCTTATGAAAAATACTTTTAATACGCACGCTGCACCACCACCACCACCACCACACGCAGGTGCCACAAATATTTGCAACATTCAAATGGATATTGAGGATCACGTGGCGCCCAAGGTGCGCACATCCACATCGCTGGTGCGTCAGGCGCGTCGCCGCATACGCACCCAGGAGAACCCCAATATTCCTCTGCGCCAGCTGGAGCCGCCAACCGAATTCGTGGATGAACATCAACATCAACAACAACAACATCAACGTCAGCGCCCGTCACACTCCCCAGCCGCATTCCGCCGCATTGCCAATGATCGCTACTCGGGGTCCGAGAGCGAGGATGCCTTGCCGCATGCCGAAATACAGATCAAGATGGAGACGAGCACCATGCGGAGCTTGAGTCGTCCGCGGAAGCGCATTCAGCTGCCGGTCATCATAAATAGCTCGGAGCCAATGCGCGCTCTGCCTCTGCCTCTGCCGCCGGCCAAGCAGAAGCCAGAGGCGAAGGGCGACTCTTTTCTGCCGGCGATTGATATGAAGGGCGAGGTGCAGGCGCAGATGGACTCTGATGGGGAAGCTGAACAGGATTACGATGAGGAGGACATAGAAGTTGGCCAGCTGCTAAGCAAGGCCAAGCTACTGGAGGGCCAATACAATGACGATATCGATGACTCCGTCTACGGCGAGGTGGAGCCGCCCGCGGCGCCAGCCAGCCTCAAGAAGCGCGCGACGCCAAGCAACGTTAGCCGCCGTCTGGTAGTGCTGGAGCAGGACGAGGAAGGCACCATGTACATTAAGGCACCGCGCTCACCAACAAACAGCAAGAAATCGGCCAGAGCGCCCATCAAGAGGTTTGTTCCTAAATGCCCCTCCCCACAGACGACAGCCAGGCGACGCACAGACCGGGCGGGCTAATCAGATCTCTAGAATTATAACCGATTATTCGTTCCGATTGTTCCATTCTATAATTCTTCTTCTTCTCGAAACAGCGGCCTCAATCCATCGGCTAGCGACAAGTACGATCCGTTTCTGTCCGCCAAGCGCCAGCTGGAGGAGCTCTGCTCGCCCAGCACACCACCCGACAACGAACCACTGGTCCGCACAACAGCCACCCCGACAGTCACACCGACAGCCACACCCACAGCGATCATGTCCACCTCGCTGACCAGCTCGCTGGGCAAAGCCACGTCGACAACATCCACCACGGCATCAAAGGGCACGCCCACATCAAATTTCCGACGCACTTCGTCCCTGCGCGGACCTCGTCGCACGCCACTGCTGCCCAGTCGTCCGCTCTTTGCCACCAACTATCGGCCCACCATCCAGCGCGGCCTCTCAGACGAGGGCCCCATCTCGAGCAACTTCCTCAAGCCGGAGGAGTACGACGAGATGCCCGTGCGTGCTGCGTGCGGCAATGATTTCCACAGTCCGCGCGTTGTGCGCCGCGACACGAGCAACTCGAATCGCAAGCAGCAAATGAAACTGCCTCTCGGTGGCGACACTGAGCCGGACAACACGTCCACGTCCACGTCCAAGCAGCAGCAGCAGCAGGCGCCGCCGGCACGTAACGTGGCCAAGACAGACTCCTTGGCCGTGTTCCTCAAGTACGAGCACGAGCTGGAGCAGCTGAATGCGAAGGCTGCGGAAGTGGCTGCCAATAGCAAAGAGCTGAGCAGCAAGGATCTCAAAGACAAGAGCAACAATCTGAGCAAGCAGAACTCGGCCAAGAATCTAAATGCCAACTCAAGCAGCGGGCAGCTGCCGCCGTTAACGACGCCCATTTGTCCGCCAGTGGCCAAGGAGAACAACGAGAATGTGGCACATAACTTTGCCACGCCGCTGCGCCTGGACCCCATCGTCAAGCCGCAACAGAGTCTGATCAACAACAGCAACAACAACAACAGCAATGGTGGTGGCATTGCGGCACCGTCGCCCATCAAGCTGGAGAGCATCTTTGGCAGCAATCGAATGGCCGACTACATAGATCCCAAGCTGATCAATCCTTGTGATAACCTGCTGGTGCAGCAGTCATCCACTGGCTCCTCCGATGCCAGCTCCACGCCACAGCAGCTATCGCAGAGTCGCAGCAGCTCGCAGTCGACCATTACGATGGGGCAGGAGCAGCGCCGTCATTCCGGCGAGGCGCGTAATCTGCTGAAGCGCAAGATGCGACTGGGACGCAATCAGTTTCTGTACGATGCCTCGCCAGAGGAGGCGTACATCTCGTCCGGCAGCTGCGCTGATGATGAGGCCAATCGCTCCTCGCTGGAGTTTGACGAGCAATGCTGGCAGCAGCAGCAGAAGCAGCTGCTCTCCAATCCACTCAAGGCAATGCCGCTGACGCTGCCCAATATGCCAGTGCTGCCCACCTTTGATGACTTCGACTTTGAGGAATTTCTCTCATCATTCGAGAACGAGAATGATGACGAGCAATTTCCGCTGTTCCGCGACTGTCGCGAGTTCCTGCTGAATCGCACGACGAGCCGACACCGCTCGTTCCAGAAAGCGACTTCAACGCCACAGCCTCAGCCACAGCCACAGTCACAACCACAATCCCATACACAGACACAACCACCGACGCCGACAGCCACACAGAGACCAGCCACGACCTCTGGCATTGGGTCTCAGTATATAACGCCACCCAAGACCCATTACTTTGCTTCCAGCACTAAAGAGCCTCATGCCCACAGATCCAATTCGAATACATCAATTGGCAACGAATCATTCAAGTCTCCACAGGCCAGCACTGGCTCCTACAAGACACCAAATGGCAGCGGTTCCTACAAGACGTCGCCGACTAGCGCCTTCAAGTCGCCGTTGTCCAGCAGCGATGAGAAGCTCGACCGCCAGCTGTCGAATGTCTCCGGCACCAGTAGCAGCAGCAACTGCTACGTGGAGAAGACGCAGAAGTCTGTGGACGAATCGAAGAAACGTGAAATCTTTATAAGCATTGAAACTGAGGCCAATGCCCAGGGGCGTTCGCCAATCTCACCGGACTCACTGCGTCACATGGTTGGCAATGCACAGACGCCCATCGATGTGCTGCACATTGAGAACGGCAACGAGCCGGAGCATGCCAAGTTCAGCAAGATCAGCGACAACGAGGATCCGATCGATGATGAGACTAGTCGCGCTCATTATCCGAATCGGCTGAGCCCAGCTGTGACCTCGCCATTGCCCAATGTCGAGGCAAACAATGCCAAGAATGTGATAGAGAAAATGCGTAACGATTTCAAGCAGCTAGGCGAAGAGGCAAGCGCCTCGGTTCGCCGCGATATCTTGCAGCGCCAGGAGCAGGCGCAGCAAAAGCAGCAGATGCCAACACAGCAGGAAGTAAAGGGAATGACGCCATCGCCATCAGGAGATTCAGATGAGTTAAGTAGCCTCGATGGATATCCAATGTCCTCATCGCAATCCTCACGTCGTGGCGGTAGCTCCAAGCTTAGTACCGACTCAGCTTATGGCAGGTTAGTCAAAATATTTTTTGATTTATCGATGTATGTTTATAGTAGGTGAGATAAGCACATTGATATAAGCTAAAAAAATGATCATTTTATTAATATATGTATGTCCGTCTGATTAACTATGTATGTATGTAATTTTAACAGCCATTTTCAACGTTAACAGTGCTGAACAGATAACATTGTCTACTTACGATAGGAACGACTTATATCGATAAATGACTGGGGTGTAAATTCAAAGTTACTTTGATATACGATATTTCAGATAACTCGTTTCTTAACTGATTTTTGTATTCATATTTATTTGCAATACTATAGCAGCAACTCTCCATACTGTCTGTCCCGTCAACGCTCCACTGAGCTGCAGTCGAACATGAGTACGCCGCGCACCCCTAGCCAATTGCGTCCACACACGGCCAGTGGAGCCATCGCAATGTCCACCAAGCAGCCCAGCAACATGATGGATGCCTCAACACAGGCACAAAGCAACTATGGAACACTAAAGGCGCGCCAGCGCATGTTTGCACCGAATGGTCTCGGCATTTGTAGCGACGCTGGCAATGGCAACATGGAATATTCCAGCAGCAGCTCAGAGCAGCTGATGCAACAGCAACAGGAACAACACCAACAGCATCACAAGCAAAACACAAATTACAACTACATACAGCAGCAGCAGCAATCTCAGCCTCAGGTAGCCAACAATAACAGCAATAGCTATGAGCTAAACGCATTGAACTTAAAGAACAACAATTGCAATAGTGTAGGTGTTGGTTTAACACCTACAACATCTCAGCATTCGCTGCAAAGCAACAATTCAAATGCTTCTGTGAAAATGTCCAAATTCTGTCACGAATGTGGCGCCAAATTCGTGCTAGAGCACGCCAAGTTCTGCATGGAGTGCGGCGTTCGTCGCGTCGTGCTTTAAGCTCAACAAAAAAATAATTACACATACAGACAAACAAATTTACACACACATATATATACACAAATTTATATAAAGCGCTGCTGAGGTGGGAGGGCTAACCTGGAGTCAAGTTGAAGCGGTTAGTGGGAAACGTAATGAATATTCTTATACCAAATGTAGTTATTACATGCAAGAAATTTTTGAGAGATCATCGATATACATACATACATACATATATAACTATATGCTTACTTAAATATATTTTTTAATAATAATAAAAATAAAAACAAAAATAAAAAGGAAACCTTCAAACACGATCAAAACATGCAATATTAATTATAAACTGATTAACAGGCAACATGGCATTTGTTTTCCAATATTTCTTAATTTTATAATAATTAGAAATGTTGTTTTCTTGTCATTTATTAAAGAAATATAACAAAAACACTTTTAACCAAGTTGTTGATTAACAAAGACTGAACGAATTTAAACGAAAGTAAAAGCGTCGAAAGCACACGAAATAAAAAGTCGAAAGCGAACCGAAATCAATTAATAGTATATATATATTATAAAAAGAAATACACATTTTCTAACGCAAACACACAGCATTGTATTTGTATTTTGTAAACTGTTTACTAATGTTATAGTCACTGCTTAAATATAATCGTATATACTTATATAAGCACTATATTATTTAACTCGTCTTAAAAAAAAAAAACAGTTAAAAATAAATGATTTTGCTTCACACATGTATTTCAAATTGGTTTATAATTGTTTTGGAGAAAGTTTGGTAAAATTATAAAAGTATTTTCAAATTCCAGAAAATTTATTCTTGGCATTTCCATTAAAACTAAATATTCAATTCATGGATGTCATCTCAATAAGATTAAAATAGTTATAAAATTCATTTTTTAATTGTTTTCCTTCACAGACGTGAAAAAAAACCCTCGACAGACGTTCGAAATGAAAAATGAGAATTGTGCTCCAAGGATCCATTTGCATGACAGCACAAATATATACTCATAGATCATGTTAATAAAAACTTAAATTTCTATTATTTATGCACGCATTAAAAAAAATTAAAAATCTACGTTGAGCTGATCCAGCAACTTTAATCTTGACATAAGTATATAGATATACTGAAAAAAATAAAATAAAAATACAAATATAAAAAAAAAGCAACGCACCAACAAATATTGAATTGTTCCAGTTCAACAAAATGAATGCTTGCCAATTGGTTTTTTAGAAAATAGGTTGGAAATTCACGTTAGGCTTAATACTTCTTTAAGAGACGTCGAATGAATCGTCTCCTTGAAAAATAGTCATAGGCAGAAGTAAATTAGTAACTCATTCTGAACTTACTGCAACTGCAGCAGCTCTTGTTTAGTGAATTCTGAGGCCGCAGCGCAGGCTATTAAGAAGTTGGATTCAACCTTAATCTGCTCGGGGCTATGAAGTGATAAATTAGATATTGAGTTGGGACTATTACTTGACTGAAAGGATGTACGCGAGCTGCTGCTATCAGTAAATGATTCAGTCGCAAACGAATTGCTCCTGTTCCTGCTCTCGCTCTGGCTTCTGTCATCTGTGGAGGAGTCATTTTTATTAAGGATTGCAATACTTTAAGTTTATTAGCTTACCCGTTCCATTTCCATTTTCGCCATGTGGGCTCTTGGGAAAAGCTACGGGAATATCCTGCGGCATCTTTGCATACCAACACTTATCTTCCTCTTCTGATTCATATTGATCATCAATATCGTTGTCGTCTTCGACTAGATCCTTGAGGAACCGTGGACGGTCTCCATTCCTCTTCTTGAACAAGTAAGTGCCATGCAACTTGCACTGGTTGATGACGTAATTGATGTCGCGATGATGGCGCAGCGTGACCGGATTGCCAATAAGTATCATCAGGGACTTGGCGCGCGAGAGCATCACATTCACGCGACGTGGATTACGCATGAAGCCGATGTTGGCAAACGAACGCACAAGCGTGGCAATTATAATCGGCTTCTCACGTCCCTGATAGTTTTCGACGCTGCCCACCTCCACATCGTAGCAGCCCTGGTTGCGTAGTAGCTCGTTGAGGAGCTTACACTGTGCCGCATACGGTGCCACGATGCCAATATCCGTCTGCTGTACATAAGTACCGCCGCCTAGGCCTAAGCAAAGCAAACGCTTGACATACCAGCAGACCACCTGTGCCTCCAGCATATTAAGCGAACTGGTGGAGTGATCCTCGCGTCTGGTCACGCCATGTGTGGCTTGGAATAAAATCGGAAAATCGGGCTTGCACAGCATTCGCCATTTGGCCGCTAGATTGACTTCTGACGGCGGCGCCTGTGCTATGAGCTCATTATTGTAGTAGAGCTTATTATACAGTCCGACAATGGCCGGATGGGATCTATAGTTTTGACGCAATCGGGTCTGCAATGTGTGATCGTAATTCCCGTTGGCGTCCAAAGCGTACATATCGCAATGGAGCAGACGCTCCATCAGCGAGTGACGTAGGCCCAGATTTGCAGCACGATTATTCTTAATAACGGCGCCCAGCTGCTTGTGATCGCCCGAAAGTATCACATGGCATTCCTCCTGTTGCTTAATGCCCACAATACCCACGAGAGCTTCGGGTTCCGTTGAAGCGCCAGCCTCATCGATGAAGACGTGTGTAAAGAAATTAAATTTACCAACATTATCTGTTACCAGACGGCCCACAGTGCACAATGTGGCGACAATTATGCCATATTTGCGCAGCTTGTCCACACGCGTGTGCTCGTACTCATACTTGGCACAATTGGAATGGCTTACGAGCAGCGGCTCCACCGAATTTAGTCCCTTAGCGTAGACAGAGCGCGAGAACAGACGTATTAACTGACAATTCAGCTCGACGTCCTCGGTGACCAAACGCGACTCTTTAGCCCGCTCCATCAAGTGCGCCTGCAAACGTTCATTGCTAGCGAAATACTTGCATATTCTCACGGCAATTGTGTCACAGGCCGAGTTCGAACCAGCGGTAACAAGAATACGACTTCGCGGCTGGCGAAGTCGCAACTGTAGAATAGCCTCGACAATGGTTGTTGTCTTGCCGGTGCCTGTAAAAGCAAAATGCACAGATTAGGATAGAGGCAGAGATATACGGAGAAGCTGTATCTCATATGCAAACCTGGAGGTCCAAATACAATGTACGGCCCTTCTTTGCTGGGGCCATTAACGATCTGATTTACTGCCTGAAGCTGCTCCATGTTGGAGGCAATGGTATCGTTAAAGAGAATTAAATTAGATGATAGATTCACTTGGGGCATCTCGCTCGCCAACGGCTTGGTTGGAAATAAATAGCGACGTAGGCAAGGACTCTCTTGCAGCAACTGCATCGCACGATACATAAAACGAAACGCTGTGCGTCGAGAGCGTAGAATTACAAAGTACGGTTCTGTGAGGGATAAGTCACCCCGAAGAGTGCCTCGTTTGAATTTCAGTTGAATCGAAGTGCGAGTCACTTGATCAACGCTGGCCACGAAACGGCGCATCGGATTCTTTGATGGCAACGATTCGTGCTTATGCGGTAACAGTGACAGTATAGAATTGGACGGAGGAGCTTCCTCCAAGCTAGCCTTGGGTATTAGCACTGCCTCGTCCACATTTGGAGCAACCACTTCCTCTAGATTGATATCTGCTTTACTGCAAGGCACAAAGCTATAACATGATTTATTGACTTTCCTCAAATAGACTTTGGGCTGCATGAGCTCAGCATAAAGCTGCATGTTTGAGATATCCTCTATGCTAAGCAGTGTGCTCAGCACTGAGCAAACATTTTCCGAATCTAGCTGCAGTGTCTGCAAATAAGAGCTAAAAGTTTTGCTCTCTTCTGCGAGGCTTTCGTCGTTGAAGTCAGCGGTCATGGCCTTCAGCATGTTCTGACTAGGTTCATAGTATGGTAGCTTGCGCATAATGCCAATAAATCTACAAATCAAAAGGGAATAAATTCAATTTGAAGTCATCTACATACATATATGTAAGTACATATATACTATATATGAAAATAAAGACGCACTTTTGGGCTTGTTTTTGCTCCTCATCGTCTGAGCTCAAAATGTCGTCCTCATCGTCGCTAAACTTCTTTCGCATGCGTCCATTTCTCTGAATCTGCTCCATTTGCCAACCTTTTATAAGGTTGGTTATTTGTGTCAATTTTAAGTTCAGCTGCAAACAAATCCACAAATAAACAATATTGGCGATGCCTTCGTTTAAGACTTTAATTACCGTGTTCAATTCTTGTTTCAAGCTGCTCTCGCTCATTTTGCAACTGAATATTTTATACAGAAACACAAAGACAATACAGAAGAACAAATTTCACACGAAATATACAAAAAGTTAATTTCAACCGAAGACGCCACAAGTACCGTTACTGCCGCCATATGGAACTAGATCTGACACTGTTCAGCTTCGATCATAGCATAGCAATGCAGAAATTTGCATTTCTTTGCAACACTATGCTTTAAAGCTAATAAAGTTACAGCAACTCAACCTCGACGTACATTATAAAAAAAAAATCATGTTCATAATAAAAGTAAAAAAAAAAAACGACTTTACAAAATAAAAGAAAAAGTTTGTCACTTATTAGACTTACATTTGAAAATGCAAAAGGAGCCCTCCGATATTAGTGAGTGAAGTTGGCAGCACATTTATTGGCATGTTAACCAGCACCACCAATCGCGTTTCTTTGTTAATATATCGATATCGATAAAATCATTATTATTATTTACGTTTTTGTTTGCAATATTATTTATTATGATTTTGGAAAAACTGGCTATTGACCAGCGTATGCAAACGCAAAATCTTGTACATATGCTGCAAAATCGAGAATCGGGCTATACTCGAAGCAAATTAAGTCAAGTCCCCCCGCTAGCGTACGAGCGCCAGTTTTACAAAGCAATTACGCCCTGCCTGACAGTTGGAATCGTTATACCACCTGTTTACCTGCGCAAGTTTACTCCGGACGGTAGCAAATTGTTGGGTTTCTCCCATGATCAGCGTTCATTTATTGGTATGCTAAAAATATTTAATTATTTTCGAGCTACAAAGGAATATTTTCTTTACAGTATATGCATACAGGGGCATCGGCGCGGCCGGCGTAAATCAGTTGTTCAGTGATGCTGGCGTGGGCAGTAGCGAAACGTTTACTGGACCATACAGCCAGCATTTAAGAAACATAGTATTTGAGAAAATGTTCAAAACGAAATACGTACTACGCCTTTGTCAAGGCGAATCGGCACGTTTCTATCTTCATCGAGAGTTCAGTGTTTTCCTGGATGGCAGTCGCTATGTCCTCCTCGCCGGAATGTGCGTACTCCAGGGCTACAATTTGGCAGTCTCTGAATACGAGCGCTATCCGGACGTCTTTGACAAGGTTGATCCCTTCTCTTATATATTCTATGTTGTGGACCTCCAGAAGGGAGTTGTTACTGACGAAGTGCTCCTGCACCAGGAGTCAATTTGCTTGTCCCACAATCACGGCATATCGGTGTATGGACATACAATAGCAATCTTATCGCGTCTGCGACAATGTATTTATATTTATGAATTGGTGGACGGTCGACTGATTAAACAAGAGCACGAAATAGGCCCAAGGCCGCTCCACTGCTGTTTTCAGGATGCGTCATCGACGTTCATGGTGGTGCTGGATGTGAACACCTTGTTGCCAATTACGCACATTAAGCAGCGAGTACTGACCTTTCTCTACCGTCAGATAGAGCCAGATAGTCCTCAAGCGAATCAACTGTATCAGGAGTTCTACAAAAATTTCGAATTCGTGAGAAAGAAAGAAAGACTTTTGCCTAATTTTCTTCTGAACTCTTTATTTTAATAATTTCAGATAGAAAATATGATTATTGAAAAGATGCAGCTGGTGAACAACGATGTGCTGTTGTTGCGCTACGAGGAACGGCCGAAGGATACCGACGTAGCAAATATCGTATTGACGCCCGAGCCACAGCCACCGCGACGTCTCTATGTCTTCTATAGTATGCCCAGCGAGGAGGTGTTAGCAGTATACCAAGATGATTCTATAGACTTGCTGCAAATAGTTGTGCAATTCCATGATAAGCTATGTAATGTGCGATCTTTACAAACAGGCGATGCACCGTCGTCCCTATACTCGCACATCTTCATGGAACATAATTTGGAAAGTAAAAATAAGTCACTGCCTTTCTTGCGTCAGGCGGCGCTTCGCTATAATCCGAGTGTGCCCGTCAGCACACAGAGCTTCTCAACGTCCCCGTATCTCAATCACAATGTGTTTATCTATGATAATCAACTCATCTCTCATCTTGAACGTCCTAAAGCCTGCTCCACAGAGCCGATCGTGTTCCGGGATCGTGCTACCAATTTGATCAAGTTTCGTTTGAACACGAAGGTGCAAAGGCCACCCTGTCAATTCACTCCGCGCGAGCTGTGCGCCTTTATCGTTCATCCATTCGAGCCGTTGATCATTAGTATACAAAAATGTATGCATGTCTATTCCTATAAATTGCACATTTACAATCACGGAACTATTGTTCAACAATTTTACAATTAATGTGAAACTGAACTAAAATTCAAGCTAACATAAAGTTATGTTATATATAAACGTTAAGTTGTACATAAACGTTAAATAATTTGTACTATTAAAGATTTGTTTTTAAAACACGAATTTTTGAATTGTTTGAAATAATTTTATTGCTGTTAACTAACTGTGGAGTTGCCAATATCGATAGATTTTCCGTTGAGACTTATCGATGCTTTAAGCATTTCTAGTAAAAACATATGTTTTCTGTTTACTGGAAAAAACGCAGAAAAATGAGCGAGAAGCAAAAAGCCGATAAGGAGAGAAAAATTAATGCAAATGAGGTCTTAATAGAGGAAATTGATAGTAATGATGTGCCAGAAAACGAGCTGGCACAGTTTGAGGTGACAGAACCATTGCGCGTCGTTGAAATAATTGACTTGGATGACGAGGACTCTATGCCGCCGTCCAATGATGCCTTAAAAGCGGCTGATGAAGAAGGCGCCTTAATTAGACGCTATGTGCAGGGCGTGCAGTGCCTTGAATTTCCTGACTTCTGTACCAAACTTGAGCCTGGCGATGAAGAGGATGACAACGAGGCAGCACACTTGGCGTCCAAAAAGCAAAATGAGAATTGTGAGCAAGTACAAGAGGCGCCCAGTACAAGTGCTGCTGCCGCAGCAACCGCTTCCAAGCAATCAGCACCACCGAAGACACAGTCCAAGGGTTCGTTTGGTCGCGCCGCAGCCGGTGGCAGCTCGGGACGCCGCAGTCAATTGAGCGCCGCCTTAATGGGCCTCATGGGCGAAGCGAATCTCTCGTTTGCATACGGTCGTTTCGATGTAGCCGAACGAATTTGTATGGAAATCATACGTCAGAATCCTCTGGCCAGCGAGCCCTTCTACACGCTAGCCGAGATTTACGAGAATCGCGATGAGGTCAAGTTCTTGCACTTCTCCACAATAGCAGCGCATCTGAATCCGCAAGATCGCGATATGTGGATACGTATCTCGGATTTGCTGGTTCAACAGGGCCACTTGGCACGCGCCCGCGACTGCTACACGAAGGCTATCAAGGTGTTGCCCAAGGAGTATCTGTTGCGACAGCGCAAAGCGCAGCTGCTGGAGCGCATGGGAGAGACAAACGCAGCGATGTTTACGTACCTGAAGATGCTGCCGCTGATGCCGTCCAGCGAGTGGAGCTTGTGCCTCACCACCGGCAAGAATGTGGCACGCTATTTCCACGAGCTGGAGAAACACAGCATCGCACTGGAAGCCATGGAGGGCACGTATGGTGTGTGCGGCGCCCGCTTCACAAACGAGGATCTCAACATCTACCTCGAGCTGCTCATACTCAATAAGCAGTACATTAAGGTGTTGCGCTGTCTCCGAGAGCGTACCAAATTGGAGCTGGAGACGGAACAGGAGAGCCTGGAGCTTATCTACTTTTGCCAAATACCCGACGACTATGTGCCCGAGCTGCGCGCCAAGCTCTGCGTCAGCCTGATCCACATGCATGCGCACCATCTGCTAGGCTACATTGTGCAGAATGTACAGGAGTATATAACGCCCACGGTGGACCGCGTGGAGTTGTACATGGACGTCACCGAGGCATTGATGCAGGAGCATAAGTATGCGGAAGCCATCGCTCTCATGCGACCAATCACAGACTCCGATTCCTTCGATTGTCCCGCTTTCGTTTGGCTGCGCCATGCCGAGTGCTTGCGTCAGCTGAATCGCACCCAGGAGGCCATACAGAGCTACGAGCGGGTTGTCCAGCTGGCTCCATACTGCTATGAGGCCAAGTTTACGCTGTCGGCGCTGCTCAAGCAGCAAGGCCGACCTGAGGAAGCAGTTAAGGCTCTGGAGCAGTCAGGCGAGCAAGACGGGCAGCCACTGCATGCGCGTCTACTGTACGAGCGCTGCATCATGCTAAAGCAGATCAATCGGATCGATGAGTTCCTCGACGTGGGCTATGTGCTCCTCAGCCGGCACTCGATAAAGCTCAAGAACCGCGACGAGATGATAGCCGCCTCGAATGGCGGCGGCGCCTACAACACCGAGGGACTCAAGGCCATCTTACAAATGCGCAGCCTGGCTGATGTCTCGGGAGGTGCCGATGCCGAGCAGCAGGTACGTATATTTGAGTATATCTCTATGAATCCTTTTTGACTATATAACGATCTACAGGAATCACTGAAGACATCGGCAGCGGCCAATTCGGAGGGCTCTGATCTGACCATCAAGAATGAGTACGAGTTGTTCCTGGAGCTGGTGCGCACGGCGCATGCGCATGGCATGCACAGCATCGTGGAGCGCATCTGCTTTGCCATGGTGACTACCAGACGTTTCACCTACTACCACTACGAGATTGAGCGCATCATGATATTGGCCTGTTACTTCAATCACGACTGCGCCATTGCCTTCTCCTATCTGCGCGAGCTGATTGCCAAGCAGCCGGACATGATCAACTTGTGGAACATGCTGTCGCTGATGGTGCAGCAAGGCGACGAGGTGCGCTACTTTCGGTACGCTCGACGGCTGCTGGAACGCCATCCCAAGGTCACCCAGCCCATGCGGCTCTTCCTGGGCCACTATCATCTCAATTGCAGCTCGTACAAGTATGCGCTGAATGTCTATGTGCCCATATTGCGGGAGCAGCCGCATCCGCTGGTCGCTCTCTCCATAGCTGTCGTCTTCAATCAGTTGGGGCTGCAGAAGAAGGTGCTGCGCAAGTCGGCAGCTGTCGCCCAGGCGGTGGCCTTTGCCCTACGCTATGCGGAATTGCGAGCGGGCTGCAACGTCAAGGGCAGCGATGTTCCGGATACATGTGCTGTCCAGCAGGAGATCTACTACAATATTGGACGCATATATCACCAGGCGAACATCCTGCATCTGGCGATTGATTATTATGAGCGGGCCTTAGCCGCGCAGCATCCGCTGATAAAGCAGCACGAGTCGGTGCTGGGACTGCAGCATGAGGCGGCGTTCAATCTGCATCTCATCTATCGCAACAGCGGCAACAAGTGGAAGGCGAGGCAGTGTCTAATGCGTTACTGTGTTGTTTAATCATTAAGTTTTAGTTTTAGTTTTTTTAAATTTCGTAATAAAATTATATCCCAATTTAGGATATTCAAATTTGTAATTCTGTTAACATAAGCTATGTTAACATATTGCTGCGTAGCAGCGTACTCGCCTTACAGCCAACAATATTCATGAAAGTATCGATACTAGTGTCATCGATAATGGTACTATCGATGCATCCATTGTTTAGGAGTGGGAGAGAGGCGAAGTTTGTTTCGCGTAATTTTTTCTAGTTTTCATGGCTGCAAAATGCAGAACTCCAAGGCCAAAATGGACGAATTTAAGACCAGGTTCATGGACCTGCTGCACAAACAGGTAGGCGCAACAAGCTGCCCATCTAACGGCCATAACAAACTTCTTATTCGCAGACGAATCGACAAATGAAAATTCCAGCTATGGGCTTTTCCGATTATTTCATTCAGACTGTCACAACGGATGCTTTGTCCACCACAACAAAAACAACAGGCGCAGCAGCAGCAGAAAACTCAGAAGAAGAAGTTACAGATGGAGTACAAAAATCGGATCAAGAAATTCTAGAGAGCATCGAAGAGTGCTACTACAGCGCCGACAGCAATCCAGAGCTTTACGAACTTAAGGTAAGCATTAGCATAATTATGAATTCATTACGTTCTAATTGTGAGTCACTTTGTAGAAAGTGCTTGCCGCTGGCATTGACAACCAGCTTATTGAGTCGACCATTGCACAGCTGCGAACTCAGCAAAAGGTGCTGACCAAACAGGTGTTGCAAAACATATTGGAACAGCGCAATGCTTGCAGCAGCGAGTTTCAGGCCATCAACGAGACGCAAAAGAAGCTGGAAGAGTCGCTGTGGACGTGCCAGAAGGCGCGCTCCTACTTAAACTACGCACGCACAAATCTAACAACGACCAGCTTGGAGATCTTGGCCAGCTATCGAAAGCGCGAGGTGCTCAAAGAAGTGCTGGACACGCTGATGGCCATTAAGAAGTTGGTAAGTGGATTTATAATGGTTGCTTGATTGATTTATTTAACAATATATAACATGGCAGCGTACGACGGATGAGGAGCTTCAAAAGCTGTTGGCAGACCACAACTATTCCGCCGCCATTGAGCTGTTGCTGCAGTGCCAAAGCTCGGCGGCTGGCTTCATGCAATACAATTGCGTGCAGTCGCTGCACAAGAAGCTGCAGGAGACTATGCTCTTGATGGAGTATCAGCTGGACACTGTGCTCAACGAAATGGTGCTGAATTTCGACATACGCAAATATGCCAAGTTGCAGGAGGCATACAAGCTGGCCAACAAGTCGCTGATTGCCATGGATCAGCTGCACATCAACTACATCTCGGCGGTGCACAGCACGGTAAACGCTGTGGTGCGTGGCTACAGCGAGCCCAATGCGGAGGAGCAACCGAAGCTGCTGTATGAGCAGCTGTGCGAACAGCTTAGTGCGGACAAGATTATACCCTGTTTGATTAGCTTGTGCAAGACCTTCTGGACCATTCTGGCCTCCTACTACCAGGTGGTCATGTGGCACAACAACTACAAGCTATACACACAGCAGGAGGAGAGCGATGGCGAATCACCCGATCTTTATATCCAACAGAAATTGAAGAAGGGCCAGTCGCGTATCTGGAACGATATACTTAATAAAGTTTGCCTGTTCCTGCAGAGCGCTAAGCTGACGACGCTCAAGTATGACCAATTCATACAGGTGTTGTCCATCGTGCAGCGCCTGAAGAAGGTAGGCGTCGAATTTTGCAGCGAGCAGTCCGAGAAGCTGATTGCAACGATGCAGCAGCAGAGCGAGGAGTTCTTCAGGCGCTATCACATTTGTTGCGTTGAGGAGATCTGTTTGTTTCTGGACAACGAGTCCTGGACGCCGTTGGATTCATTTTCGCACATACTGCAACTGCCGGTAGCTTGAATCTCGATGCTAAAATTTTGCAACTATTAATATTATTTTATATTGTGTAGGAATTCCGCTCGGTTAGGCATACGCTGCGTCGTCATAAATCGCCAACAACTGCGCTGCTGGCCTCGAGCAACAACTCGCCCATTAGCAACAACAACTGCGACGAGCTGGTTTCTGTGCACTCTCAGGACGGTGGCGGCAGCTCAATCTATGGTTCCTATGGCTACTTTTTGCGCTTCTCGGAGAAGAGTTCGCCCTTCGATGGCGGTCTGGACGCTGCAATGCTGGAGGAGGACATATTGTCAGGGATTGTGGACGAGGCGTCCTGCTACTTTAGCGAGGAAAGTGACGACGAGCAAAAGAGTCTGCAGAGCAAGGAGTTTGCCGAAGATGCCAACAAGTAAGCAACCAGAGAATGCTCTTCTCTTAGGGTAATTTGAGTTTAATGCTTTGCCTTTGCCAGTCAGCTGCTTGTGAATAACACTGCTTTGAATGTGCTGCGCTGCATTGGACGCTACTTGCAGATGTGCAAGCTGCTGCACTGCATCTCGCCCAAGATAGTGGCGAGCATGCTGGAGCTGCTCGACTTTTATGCCTATGCAGTGCATGAGATCTTTGGCAAGGATGCGGTAAGTATAGATTCGCCAACGTAGATCACATTTTCAATCGATTTCAAAATCACAGCTGGTGGCCACAGATAATCTCTATACGCCGCGTCTGGAGCAGCGTCTGCGTGCCGTGGAAACCAATGTGCTTACACAGATTAAAGTTTGGCCCCTGAACTTTTCCTCTCTGGTGAGAAATTAATGCCAATCACGATAGTTGATTATAATGATAATTGTATTCAATTGCAGATCAACAACGAGCTGGCTAATCCGGACACGCTGTACGGTCTGCCACAGCGCATCGTGGCTATCGAGGCTGGGCGCAGCATGTTTCAACAGTTTCACGTACTGCAGCATTATTTGAATCATTTATTACCAGCCGGCGATCGACCAGCACTGATCAACTATCTCGAATATTCGGAATTTATTGCTGATCTGGCCAAACCAGTTTACACTTGCGTCGCATCGCGCGTCATCGATCTGTCGGCCATTCTCGCGCAAATGGCCAAGGTCAAGTGGGATGTGAATCATGTGACGCATCAGCACAGCAGCTACAGTGACGTCTTAAATCGCGTAAGTGCTAAAGCGTAGCAGCAGCAATCTCAGTGGAAGTAAATCTTGCATTCTCCATCATAGAATATACAGAGCTTTGCCATGTGCCTGGAGGAGATCTCGAAGGAGGTGAGCATACCCAGCAAACACGTTTGGAATGCAATGGCTCACGTGGCCACCCATTTGCTAGTGGAGGGGTAAGTTGACTATATTATTTTCTCATGTTCATTCTGCTCATCCAAGGTCCTTCGCAGGTTCTCGAATGTTAAGAAATGTTCTGCTGGCGGCCGGGCACTTATGCAATTGGATTTCGCCAATTTTATGTCGTTCCTGGAACTAATCTCGAATCAGAAATACCCCGAACATCGCGCTTATGTGGATGTCTTTATCAAGTCGTATTATTTCTCGCCAGAGCAGTTCGAGCAGTGGATCGAACAGCAGCGACTGGGCGATGAGTATTCAGCTAAGCAATTGACAAATCTGATACAATGCGTTTGTGTCAGCGATAAGCGCACACGACAGAGGCTGTTGCAGCTGCTGGAGGGCGTGGCAACTAGCGTTACGCCCACCACGACGCCGCACAAGAATAACTATAACGCCGGCTCGAATCTGAGCAATGTTATTTAAAGTAATGTCTATTTATATCTCTTTCATTTATATTGTTTATTGTATTTATTCTTTTTGTTATTTATAATTGTAATCAGTCGCTAACTATGTGGTCGAACCTTTGTTAGTAGTTGAATTTTCTTGAATTCTATATATACAATATTTAAATATTACATTCCGTTAGTGCAAATCGATTAACACTTATCTGTAAGCTGATTGTATTTTAGTCACTAAGCGATCTCCATGATGTACTTCGTTTTGTATTCCGAATCTGTGCATAACTTGAAATCTCCTCGTTCAATCTCTATTCAAGTGCAATACGCTCTCTCTCTCTATATATTTATTTAGGCAATGCACAAATTTATTAATGCTATTATTTTGCACTTTGGTTTACCATTCTCACATGACTTAAGTACCTAGAGAAATATATATACATATACACATTCATACACAGATATCGCCAGCTAGAATTAAGGCATAAGCAAAATCAATTTATACATATATTTATTTTAATACCCAATAGTAATATTTATTTGCGAAACGGACAAATAATTGTAATTTAATGCAATTATACCTATACTAAACAAAAGAAGTGAAATAACCGCAATTCGAGCGATTTGTGGTTTACTCACAGAAAAGCGAAACATTCAAATGGATTTGTAACTAAAAACAACTAATAAAGAGTACATATTTTGAGATATGAATATTAAATGAATGTTGTTTTAATAAACGAAAATTTATACTATAATGTGAATCATGGAAAATTAAATAGTATAAAAAATTAGGAAAGGGATATTATATGAATATATTTTAAAAGAGAAACGGGAATTACAATTTTGGATTAAAATAAAGTATGATTAAATTTAATTATGTATATCAGGTCTAGGCCTACTCTGTTTATTATATCAGCAATAAGATTTTCTCTAGTCATTATATATAAGAAAATGCAAGCCTACCATTCACGACCTATACAATATGAATAACGTATGTTCCTCCAGTCTAGCTCTACTTGAACTCCGAAGGCGTAACTTTTTCGGCAGGCAACTCCTCTTGGCCAATGACTCAGCAAACTAGTCTCACTGTCTATGGAGGCTATAAATATGCCAATAAGTCAATGGCTAGCTAACATATCAGTCTCAGACATGTCCAGGATACACTCGTATATTGTGATACTCGTGTGCTTAACATCGGGCTACGCAGCTGAGGAGCTCATCCGGCAGCTACTCTTGGAGTCGAGGTCTTCATTGCTGCTCATACGCTACGACTACTGCCCAGAGAGCTGGCTGCAGGAGGTGCTTGTGGCGCCTCAGGTGCCGATCGTGCTGCAATC